GTCAGGCGCACTCTACCGCACTGCTCCTTTGAGACACCCCCCCCCCCCCCCCGGTCAGGATGTGGAGACCCGCGAGGCACACCCCCCCCCAGAAACCCCACGAGTACCTGCCCGGGAGATTTCGAACATCCGCGCAGACAAGTTTGTTATGTATCCCCCCCACTCTCTCTCTCTCTCTCTCTCTCTCTCTCTCTCTCTCTCTCTCTCTCTCTCTCTCTCTCTCTCTCTGTCGTGACACTGAAAACCAGCGGGGCGTGATGCTGTGATTTTGGCCTCTCTCCGTCCTAAAAAGGGGTTAACCCTTTACAGTGGAACCCTGTTAATACGGTCACTAAGGGGCAAGAAAATTGGCAGTATTAACGGGGTTGCTGTATAACCGGGGCTGGCGCAAATTTCATGACTTGGGGGCCGTAAAATGACAAACACACCGTACATCACATTCACCGTACTGTTCTCATTAATAAGCAACGAGAATGTAGATATCGCGTACAGTAATTGAAAAAACTACTTAAAATTTCAGCTATAATTTGCCACAAGTGCGTTTTAAGTGTACTGTAGTCTAAAAACAGTTGTACAAGAATAAGTGCAGATTACTAGTTCAATAAAATTGAAATGTCAAAGCTAAGGCATTTTGACTTTATAAATTTCGAACTAGTGGCTGTAATAACGGGGTTAAATTATAAGAGATTCTACTGTTTGGGATTTTAAAATGTGGCCGTTGGTCGTATTAACGGGTGACTGCAATAACGGTTTTTTTTATGAGGAAATGTATGCATGGACGTTTTACCGGGCTGAAAAAAACTGGCCGTAATAACGAGGTGACCGTACTATCGAGGTGGCCGTAAGGCGGGGTTCCACTGTACTTATTTGGGCAATGATTCCCGGGTTTAGCCGGTTTTTCTTTTTTACTTTTAATTTTTTTTTTTTTTTACTTTTGTTACTTTCTAGACGACTTCCTGTGTTCAGTCTTCCTGAAGGATGGATGAAAGATGGAGGCCCGCTGACGATTCCTAATCAAACATTGTAACATTCTACAATTTTATACAGAGTTAGATGCTACAATAATTCAGTCTGATTAATCTAATTGTGCTCTGAGATTCAAGAACCACGAAAATGGAGAATCAGAGACTATAATTAGAAACTGATGTTATTATGAAAGTTCCAGCTTACGCTGTATTTAATGCACAATGTACAAAATTTCAAATGACATCATCCATGTAAATAAGTCTAAGTACTTGACTCCAGCAACAGAAACTCGGACTCGTGGATCTTATGGTTTTAAATATTTTAATGAACATGCTATTAACGATGAATTTAAATATCCCTATTTTCTGACATTGTATCTGCCAAATCTTTAGATATTTTTAAGAGTATGTTACGCGATTACTTACGAGGAGATTAGCATGAGGTGACCCTCCTCCAGTATTTATTTATTTTTATTTTTATTTTATTTCATTTTGTATTTTTTTGCTAAATTTTAAATCTTTTTGTCCTTAATTTAACGTTAGCGTGATAACTATACATAGTTTCTGCTGACTACTAAATGTAGATGTAGATGTAGATTACCATCATGGTCGTTATTATCATCATTATTATTTGTACTAAAATTATTATTATTATTATTATTATTATTATTATTGAGACCTCCGGCGAATAAATATCTTCTTGGATCTATTACCTAGATTCCCATACGAATCCTTTATACCCTAGAGCTAAGCTTGCCTGTCTGTGATCATAACTGCTAGTCTTAGTAGCTGGCGCACTGTTTGTGTTTTTGCGCGCGTGAAAATTTCGGTGACAAAGCTGCAAGAGATTTTAAAGCGTCCTTTCTCCATTCTCCGACCGGCTTGGCTGCTCTTCTGCCAAACCTTTGTAGTCGAGAATAGATTTTTCCGGGGAGCAAAAGTGGCGCCCGGGGAGCAAGGGTATGTGGCCCGGGTTCAAATCCCGGCGTCGACGCCATATGTGGGTTGAGTTTGTTTTTGGTTCTCTCCCTTGCTCCGAGAGGTTTTTCTCCGGGTACTCCGGTTTTCCCCTCTCCTCAAAAGCCAGCAGTTCCAAATTCTAGTTCGACCAGGAATCAGGTAGACGAAGAACCATTATGTGGATGTGCTACCTGCAAATCGTTATTTATTTTCTTTATTTACCTTTTTCGTGAACCAGGAATCTACAAACAGCTTTGCAATGTAGCACGCCGTGAACCAGGCGTTTTACGAGACACCACAGGTAGCCCAAGCTCGAAATATGAGCATCGGCGAGCATCGGCATTGTTGCGTAACATTCAAAATATAAGGATTTGTATGGGAAAAAAACCTATCGTTTCTGTAACCTACGAAAATGAAAGGATTTCAATTAACAACAGCTTACCTTACTTAAAATGTGTGTTACATCTCTCCTGTGTGGTCCACGGGCCACGGTTTTCTCTCTATATAAAGGTTTACCAAGGTTGGGCACTCCAGCGAAGCAGCTCCACTGATCCACCGAAGGAAAACGGCCGTAAATAACTCCAACTGCTACAATCGCCTTCAAATTCCGCCTACGTAACACACGATAGTTCTCCTTCCCATTCATTACCTTGCTTCAAGACGCCTTTGCACCGAGAGCGAATCAAAGGTCGCCAATCTCTGCAAACCTTCCCGATTAAAGCCATCGACAGAGGCTCGGGATGAGCTCCGCGTTACCCAAACGGTTGAAAGCTAGCTTAGCGACCCGGCCTGAGATTCAAAATACTCACACTCGGGGTGGGAGACAGTCTCTTGCTCCCGTTGACATCAATACCCTTGGGCCCGACCCTCGCAAAGTCTAACTTGCACGCATTGTTCTCATTGACCAATCGGAGCTCAAACTGGCGAAATTTGAATGAGAAGTGAAAAACTTCCTTTTTCAAAACAAAGTACGGAATCGTACAGATTCTGTAGTTTGCGAAATGAAAATCTGTGGTTGTAGGAAAAATGGGGGACTACTCGTAGTCTCTTCTCGTTGCGTCTACTCGGATATTCTAAACAGAAAATTCCCCCCAAAAAAGCTGTTTCGCTCAGAAAAGTTTAACTGAAGCTCAGGCGCTCAAGTTAAGCCCTGTCAGTCGGGGTTACGAACTGGATGGGTGACCCACCGCGAAGATTGTCTTAAAGGTCCATACGTTGTTCTTTCTTTCTTCTTCTCCTTTTTTTCGTGTCATGTGGTGTTATTGTTAACAGTGTATTGAAAAGCAGATTTAGCATTTAGCGTCCGGATTTAGAAAAAGAAAAAAACAAAGAATAAATATGGCCCGGTGGAGTTCGCCCGAAAATTATAATTCTTCGGGCCGTAATACAGAGCTGGAACTTTGCAGACTTTGATCTATATATCGGCGGGGAAGCCGGCAAACTAAGAAATCTGCGTTTTCGACAGTGTAAAACGATCATAATGCCTCTGATTCCAATCTCCTATTCCTCTGTCTCTTGTTGTCGGCGTTGCCTTTGCTGTGCTAAGCGATGTTCCTTCTGCTCCGCGGTTTCTTGTTGACGTCTTCTCCTTCGTTGTTCACGCTGAATTTGAAGTCGGCATTCTCCAGAGTAGTTTCATTTCGCAAACTACAGATTCTCATTTCGCAAACTACAGAATCTGTACGATTCCGTACTTTGTTTTGAAAGAGGAAGTTTTTCTCTTCTCATTCAAATTTCGCCAGCTTGAGCTCCGATTGGTCAATGAGAACAATGCATGCAAGTTAGACTTTGCGAGGGTCGGGCCCAAGGGTATTGATGTCAACGGGAGCAAGAGACTGTCTCCCACCCCGAGTGTGAGTAATTTGAATCTCAGGCCGGGTCGCTAAGCTAGCTTTCAACCGTTTGGGTAACGCGGAGCTCATCCCGAGCCTCTGTCGATGGCTTCAATCGGGAAGGTTTGCAGAGATTGGCGACCTTTGATTCGCTCTCGGTGCAAAGGCGTCTTGAAGCAAGGTAATGGAAAGGAGAACTATCGTGTGTTACGTAGGCGGAATTTGGAGGCGATTGGGGCAGTTGGAGAGAATTTACGGCCGTTTTCCTTCGGTGGATCAGTGTAGCCGCTTCGCTGGAGTGCCCAACCTTGGTAAACCTTTATATAGAGAGAAAACCGTTTACATAAAAACCCATAAAACGGCCATAAATCGGCCCGTGGACCACACAGGAGAGACGTAACACACATTTTAAGTAAGGTAAGCTGTTTTTATTGAAATCCTTTCATTTTCGTAGGTTACAGAAACGATAGGTTTTTTCCCATACAAATTCTTATATTTTGAATGTTACGCAACAATGCCGATGCTCGCCGATGCTCATATTTCGAGCTTGGGCTACCTGTGGAGACACACCTGGGTTATAGACTCAGTCCTTATTCGATTTAAGAAGCCTTACTTTAGAAACAACGGTTCTTGTTATTCTTTTTTGTTACTTTAGTTACTCCTTTTAATCTTTTGTTAGCTTATTTTCTCAATATTCATGCAGGTAACAGTTTTTACTAGCTAGTTTGGTCTTAAATTTTCTGATTAATGAGGATCCTTCTTCTCCATATTAATCACCACCAACTTCTGGAGGCACGTTGTAATAGGAATGAGCTTCATTGTCTTTGTTTAAATCCAAATATGGTGCATCCCTCTCCATTATCACCTCCATTTTTTGGATCAACCGAAAGAAACTAGGACGAGAGCGAGGGTCCTCCTTCCAACAATCAGACATCAGCTCATATCTATTATGGACCGAAAGCAATGAAAGATTAAATCAGAGTCCCAATTCATCATTCATTAGACCATTTCATATTGACGTAAAACACCATGTTTTTGTAAGCTATGTTTCCTTTAGGTCAGGGAGCAGCCCGCCCCCGGCCATTAGGCTTATCATTTATCGCCGGTTGACCCAGCCCCTCATCCAGCCATCATTACATGTATGTCAAGACATTGAATAAACTGAATAAAGGCTAAAGCGTTAAGAGCTGGTCGACAGCTACTTTAGCTTATCCTCTGTTTCATCTGGCATGGAGGATAGTTTTGGAAATGTCGTTGAAATAACATTAAAAGAATTAAGATCGCACATGCTTACCTTATATAGCTGTTGTCTAACTAGTTTCAACCACCATAAGGAAATATCGAACTCATGGTGGAAAAATCGCTACAGTCGAACCCTATTTTGATACTGTATGAAACAACTATTTAAGCTCAGATTTTGCCGTCCTTCTATTCAGCAATCGTGATCGAAAAAAACTTGTTAATCGACTTGTACTTCCGCAACGTTCACCTCTAATTGTAACTAAAAGGACGCGTGGAAACAATGGAATCTATTTAGTGTTAATGCTAAGACGAATCTGATTAAGGTACGTACACGTCATCGGAGCACATGTCAGGCCTTTCCATGCGATAACCAGTGCCAAGCAGTCGATACAACTCTGAGTTGGTCAGCGTGGGGTATGGTACATCTCCTGATAATGTTATGCGAAATAAAAAAAATCAGTTACTTTCTCGAAAATAAATTTCATTGTTCCTTATGTCTGCAGAGTCAAACGTCGAACTTTATTTGTGAAAAACCATTGGGTTCGTCCAAAGTAAAATTCGACGATGGACCCTGACCTTACATAGCTTTCATATTGAGATGTCTTGATTGTTCATGCTCCCCACACTCAATAAAGCCGTTTTACAAAATAATGGTAATTAAAGAGGGGCTGAGGTTTGCATTTAAACATGTCTTTAAAGAAGGCAGGGTCTTTATAGTAATAAGGCCTCTCTTCTGTTCCAGGAAACAATGTGCAACGCAATCTTTAACCTGTAGGTTAGCATGATTATTGGCAACGAGCATCCGAGCGAAGACGAGAGGATGGCGTGGCGGCAGCAGAATAGGGCCGCTCAAGACTTGACATAGGCAGCAATCCTCGATCGACCTTCAAAACGTGTAACCTAATGTAAGGTAGATTCCCCTGAAATCAAGTTGTGGGATAGTTGTCAACCAATCAAAAGGCGGTACGTGCGCCCGGGCTGAAGTTGAATGTGGTTGGCTTTTAAAAATACAGAATTTCACCCAATTCCTGCCGTCGCGACTTCCTGTGTTTATTTACCTAAACTTATTTGTCAAACCTGGCCCCTACAGTCAAGAAACGTGAGTACTTTGATGTATTGTATTAATTTTGGGGGCAACCTTTTAACGAAGAGAAGCTTGTAAAATAAGAAATAAAGTTTTTTATGTGAAACAAGCAATTCTCACCATTAAAAAGGATCAGATTACACGAGGAGATAAGGAATTAGCTTGATACGAAGAATGTAGTCGCTTCTGTTGGAAAATCTGATGTTGGGGGAAAAATCTAACCAGCAAACGAACAAAAAAAAGAATAAAAAAGAATTAAAAGCCTAAAGCGAACGACAAAGGAAAAGAAAACAACGCTATTTTTTTCGAAACCTGGCCGAGTGTATAAAAAAAATGAAAATACAATATCAACGTGCCGTACACAATAAATGCATAACACCTTATCAAGAAAATAATCCTTGCAACCGGAAGGGACCAAGAAACTGTCAAATGTCGGAAGAAAGGAATTCCTATGCAAAATACGCATGATTTGTTCGTTGGCACCCTATCGATAGGTATACCTACAGTAGTTGTATACCGAACACGGTTTACTCACCCAATGTAGCCATCTCCCAGAGAACAACACCAAAAGACCAACTATATTAAAAAAATAATAAATAAGCACAAATGTCATAAATATAGCCACTGCATTAACACTATTTTCCCTCTCTTCTTTTTAGTTGATGAACTTTCTGTGAAAATAGGCGTCAAGGCGAGTGTCCACCTTTTCGTGTCTTCGCCCACAACTGAGCGACTTCTCGCGCGCTGATTGGTCGAAAGCTATTGTCAATAAGAGTACAGATCGATAAACTTCAATGGAAATGGACGTTAAAAACAGTCAATGTTATTGTAAAATCCCTACAGTGAAAGCAGTCACCTGCGGCTGGTGGTTACAGTTGAATGTTGAACATTTGTAATTACCATGGTCGCTAAGAGTACAGACCAAAGACAATTTTTGTCGATTTGTTGAAATAGACTGGCCAATCTCCATAGCCAACTTAATGGTTTCGAATAGTGAATCGTTAACTCACACATCACTTTTGGTTGTGTAAACGCCTTGATAAAGTGATTCTGGGGACATCCACTTCACAGGAAGTTTTTTGGACTTCGCTGAGCTGCTCACATCTTCATAGATTTGTCTCATCAAACCAAAGTCCGACACTTTGATCTGGTTGTCATGGCCAACAAGAACATTACGGGCAGCAAGGTCTCTGTGAACAAGATTGTTTTCGGCGAGATGATTCTGATTTGATAAAGGAAGCGGAAAAAACAAGAAGAAAAATTTTAATACCATGATACTTAAATTACAGGGCTACAACTGGCAAACAGGAGATGATGGATGAAAGAGAAAAATTACGGGACAAATAAAAAGTATAGTTTCAGCACTGAACTGATTCAAACGGCCAGTACAAGTTCAGACGCGTAACGTAAGTTAAGGGTCTTTTTATTTGCTTTTTGAATTTAAAACAAAAAATCATACACCATGTGGAAAATTAAACCATTTATCTTTTAGGGACTGTGCAATAATTATCACCCCCACACCACATATAACGTAACTGTATCAATCAATCAATCAACTTTATTTAAACACGGTAAATGGCTCAGCAAGCTGGTGTTCAGACATGCCGTGTGATAATTACAATGTATAAAAATTGAGACTAGTGATTAACTAACAATATAACAGCAAAGAAATGAGTATTAGAAATAAGATAAAAACATACTAAAAGTTATATCCTAAGATATGGCGAGTTTAAAGCTAGTAAGATCCCCCATCCCACGTGTTTCATTTGACAGTTGGTTCCAAGCCATTGCACCCTGATAAGAAAATGAACGCTTGAGAAAATTTGTTTTAGGTAGTGGTAGTTGGAAATCATAGTTAGAACCCCTCAAATTATAGTCATAGAAGTTGAAAAGCTTTAAAACTGTCTTTGCTATTTGTTGTCCGACAACCTTGCTTGTGTTGGAAGGCTTCTCCGAGAGGAGAAGAAGCCAAAGCCCCACGATGACATCAACATAAGGCCATGCAAGAGGGAGGCAAATTGCATCTTGAATAAGCTTCATGCCATCACAGAAAACATAACTAAACATGATGACAGCCTATTTACCTAGGGTGGCAAACTTAAGCGACTGGCCTTAATTGCCGTCACAATTTCAACAATGCGGAGAAACGATATTACATCAAGTCTGGCTTTGAAAAGGCTGTGCTACATATTGTTGAGGACTTGGACACAGTGATGGCTAAATTATAAGGCGACATATCAAACTGGCACCTAGTCCACAACATCTGAAGCAAGAAAAAGGAAAGAGCAGAGAAAAAAGGGGAAAAGAGGAACCTTGTAGCTTGTGAAAACATAACAAAAGGAGCATGCCTTATTTTTCGTTCCCTGGGAGGAGACCCCTTTGCTGAGGACTTTGAGCCGGACATATTTGGTATTCCCCGACAGGAAACAGTCGATTGTGAAACCCTACATTTGTTTGCCTCAAAGACAGACACGGCATGCCTGAGCGACCTTTGCAGGGCAAACTGTTTTACCAGGGAAGCCCAGGAGATTGTCTGGGACTTCTGCACCTTAGGGTGAATGAATTTACAACTGTCTTATGGGACAGTACAGTGAGTACAAATGGTTTGTTTGGGACACTCATAGGCGTTGCTGCAAGTTATTTTTTTTACTTGAATTTGACCTTGTAATGGATACTGGGATTATAGAAATTTTATGACACAAATCAATCCTTTTGCAATGACTAAAAAATCTGCTAACATGTGATGACATATTTTATATAAACTTCACATTTTCTAAGAACATTGAGTGTTGAGAGTACATTTCCTGTCTTATAATGCATAAAAATGCATATAAATTACAATTTAATGCAGAGGCACATGACATAAAATGAAAGTTAGGGCCCCCCTGTAATAGGAGTAATTTTAATTTGAGCCCCTATCTTGGATTTTTTTTTTTTTACTTAATGCCCCCCCCCCCCCCCTGGGTTTTCATCCTCCCCCCTTTTATTTTTCCCCGACCACCCGTCCTTTTCTTTTTAAAACTGTTTTTGAGCCAGACTCTGTCTTCATGCGCGGTTTTTTTTGTTTCGCAGTACCTCGCGGTGTGGAAATAGTGAGTGTGTTGTGGTGCCCTGGTCATCTAGACAAAATAAACATAGTATATTCTTTTTTTTTTTTCACGGTAGAGGTGGCATATCAGTCTGTGATTTGCTTGGGTTCTAGACGTGTGTTTTTCCCGTTTAGGAGTATTTTTAATTTGAGCCCCTTTTTCGGTTTTTTTTTTTTTTACTTATTGCCCCCTCCCCCCATCTGGTTTTTCAGCCCCCTCCTGATAATTATTGCACAGTCCCTTATTCCTTGCTTATAAAATAGGCTTTGGAAACGGCCTTTGAATAATGCAGTGTTTGTTGATTCACTATGTCAGAATGAATTCTCTCCTGTCCCAAAATGTAATATGGGCAAAAGTCTGAACGGCATCCCCTGTCGTCACTATCTATTTGGATGCAGAAATCGAGGAACAATCGAAAGAAATGTTATTCGGGGGAGTACTCAACAAAGTTTCATACGTGAAGGCTCCGCCCCGCGATCCAACACCTTACCATTTCATATACCATTGACATAATTTATGGTTCTTCTTTCCCATACCTAGTTTAGTTCTTTGCATCCCTTTTAACTCCTGTAAATACCATTTCTTTAACGAATAAATCATAAAGCCGGGAAATTTCTCGACTTTTTCACAGCCATAAAATCTTTCTGTTAGCTCTTTTATGTCTTTTTACAAACCGAAATGACGAAATGACAGATTTCCGCATCCTTTCATACACTTCAACTAATGAAATCCCTACCCTTTCGTGTAGGAAGCCTAAAAAAGGCACTCTTTTCAGGCGAATCCTCCCATTGTGGGCCATTATAGGGATTACCCCCGGGCACGTTTTGTAGAAAATAAAACAATAAAAAATAACAGTAATTACCATTCCTTTAGCTATTTGCCAAGCAAATGAGAACATTTGTTTGGTGTGAAAGCTCTCCTCGTCATCCTCTTCTTCACTGGAATCCTCGTCAAAGTTTTCAATCAAAGGCGAGATAGCGGGGGAAGGCTTTACTTGACTTTTTCCAGGTAGCCCTTGGCTGCTGAGCAGTTCTTTGTTGGTTGCTTTCCACTCCGCTCTTTCCTAAATAAAAAAAAGATAATAATTAGTGGTCTAGCTTAAAACAGCCAAATTTTCAGGTCACTCAGAGCGTTTATAAGCAAATAACAGTTCAATAGACTTAAAGATATAAAACCTGACAATACTCGAGCCAAATGCGAGTAAAGGAAAGGTTTTCAAAATATCTGGGATTAGCTAGACAACGACAGTTTAAAAGCCCCCGTGGCCTCGCCGAACGAAGTTTTCCCAGGAAGCCTCGGGCACCTGCTAGCACCTTAGAGTGTTGATAACTCATCAACAGAAAACACATCATTTAAATACAAGATTCATTATAGTAGCCACTTTCTCGGAAATGTCAAGTTCGCGAATCAAGATAGCGTGCAAGTGGGAAGAAAGGTGTTATGACGTAATTCAAGATGTCACATACAAAAAAAATGGTCCACGAACGACAAAAATGTCGCGACCAATAAGGTAGCACAGGACAACAACCATCACGTTGCGTTCTCCTAAAGTCGGAAGTAAACAAATCGGTAGTAGTTTTGAATAATTATTAAGGTCCTCTTACATGTTTTTCAGTGGAAGTCGATGGAATCACTTCAAGAACGGTATCTTTGACGCATTCCGGTGGATACACGGTAATGTTCACTTGCTTCTGGTTTACAGAATGTTCATCATCCATAGCCTCGTTGTCAACGCCGAGCCTTTGCTAAATGATTTTTTTAAAAGGCAATTTAATTTATATGGAGGAAAAGTGTAACATTATATTGCTTTGAAGTCAAAGCTACTGTCCGTAACGCCTAAATTAAAATATGACACAAGTTTAGGCAACCTATTGCATTTTTATTGCAACGTTTTTTACTCCTACAGTGCGATCACGTAAAATCCCATTCAAACCATTGGATAAACCAACGATTCTCATTCATGACTTTGGATACCTGTGTTAAAACGATATAATTTGACTGATCGAAGAGCAGATATGGAGTGACTTTACTCATTTAAACTCATTTTACTCAAGAAGAGATCGAATTTGTTCATTATTCGCAAACCTCACGATATTTTATTTCCCTTACAGCGGTCTTTTGTTACGTTGTATCTCTTTGCCCCAATGCGTCACCTTCCGCTTCACCCATAGCTTGTACAAATGAAATATTCAACACTTAATGACTAGTCCCAGGGGAAACAGTTAATTTCGAGGGAAGCAAAATTAACTGTTTCCCCCGTGACCAGTCATTAAGTGTGTTGTTATATAGCTGGAAATTTATTAGACCTCGCAGTAACGGCGGTCCTCGATCAACATTCGCGAGTAACAGTGCACTGTTATCCTCTGACGTCATAGTTTTTGCAATGCTGCCCGCTTAGAGATTTTGGCGGGAAACAGTTTAATTTTTAGATGTCATGTGACCTCGAAGAAACCAATGAGAGTGCGTGCTATTGGGAAGAAATTTCCAGCTTTATATCAAATTACATTACACCTTTGGTAACGCGAGACAAGGCCTCTTGTAGCTGAGGCACTTCATTCTTACATCAGGCAGATTGTCAGTGGCTGATGCCATGTCCGGTGTGACGTCACTCTGGCGCAATGAGGTCATTTCCATGGTCACATGTGTTTGCTCTTCCTTTGACGTTTTCTTCAGAAGTTTGCCTTCTTGTTTTTCCTAAAGTTGAGAGAAGTCCGATCAATCCGGCCTATGATAGTGTGCGACCTGCCGGAAAATTCTCACCGGTTTTACAGTTAGAAAATAAGACAAAAGGAATTTTAAAATTAAGCCACAAAAGATACACTCCTGCAGATTCATTTTGCTAGACTTTCAAAGATGTATGGAATGCGACGTGATCGAGACCCCTCCCCCTACCCCTCCCCCTTAACCACCCTCGTGAAAAATATATCAAACAAATTTCATCACAGGGAGCTCTAACCATAATATGGTTTTTAATGGTTTTTGCGGGCATGGCATAAAAACGCCTCTTTCTTTTCAAGTGTCAGTCCATGTTTATCCTTGCCATCCTGAGCAAAAGACGACAGGAAACAGTTTTAATGTCTAAATATAGCCTTGATTAACAGAAATTACTAAGCCATTGTATTTGGAATTCAATTAATGCGAAAACTCGTTTTAAGTGGCTTTTTAAAAAGATTGGAAATAGCGTGAGACAGCAGCCCCTTAAAGCGAAATAAAACTTAAAAGTTTGATATTTCCTTCATACAAGATGGCTGTGAAAAGTCGACGCCAGCTCCTGTTGGACCCGCTCGTTGATTTCAGTCAATTTTGTGTTTTCGTAAGTCTGCTGCTCCTTTACCGTCTCATAAGTAGGTTTGCTTTTCTGCATGAAAAGATATCCAGGACATTGATTTATTTAAAACTGACCAACTGTTGCTCCAGTTCTTACCATTCTCTTTTCGTCTGCAATACCTATTGCTACTGTATAAAAAGAGCATTTGGAATTTGATTTAAGACTGAGGATTAAGAACAACTAGATGATCTACAGCTTTAACACCAACATAGTGAAGGATTTTGAAGGTGGATAAAATATATTTAAGCTGGCTAAACCTGTATGACGAAAACTCAGACTTCTTTTTAGTGTTTTTCAAAGCGTCTTTATGATTTTAATATTTTTTCAATTGAGGTACTACTCCGGTTCCTGAAAAAGTTAAGAAAGAGATAACTTTTACATATTGCTCGAGAAATTCTTTCGTAGGCCACTGTAGAGACTCTGATCACATCATGAAAACCAGCAAGAAAAGGAGCTAATTATTCTAAAGGTGACCGTAAAAAAAAAATAAAAACCAAGGGCCTAAGGCCTAAGCCTACTTCGTGTAATGAACACAAATTGAAATACTAATCAAAACAGCAGCTACAAGGCCTAATTACTTGGACGGAGGGCTAGGTAAAGTTTTGGCGATCGCCAGATTGGCTTCAAAGTTGCAACGCTCTCTATAGAGGGTATTCCCATGACGTCACATTTTTCGCGGGAAATTTGAGTCGCCATATTGGTGGTCTATATTTTCCAACATGGCGGGATATCCACTCTCAGATTATGCGAACACGCTCGATCCCCACGTGAAAAAACGTTTTAGAAGATTTCTTGTGTTGGTATCGATCCTGCCTTGATACCAGACAAAACATACGATCCAGAGTGCCTGTCTCCTGTCGAACCCATGGATTTGCATTCGCTATTGGTGCTCGACACGAGTTGTTAAAGAAAGGACCAATTTAAGGCTTTTAGAAGTTTGCAGGCTTATAACCAATTGGTTTCAGGGTTTGTTAGCGGCGTTAAAGGACAAAAAAATAGGCAACAAATACATAGTGTCCGGGAAAGTCAGGCATTCACAAAGAATGAACGATCCATATTTCACACTTTGGATAAAAACCGAACAGAATGGTTACGGTTCTCTTCGCTCACTGTGTGGGATGCATGGCGGGTCAAGAGGAGTGCTGCTCACATATCGCAAGTGTTTTGTTCTAGATCGAGGCATGGAATCGGATAAACGAAAAATTCATCTGTACACAGCCAGAAATGAAAAATCAAGATGAAGCTCTGGAGTGAATTAGATTTTACCTGCACGTACAAACAGAAGCCACTGTGTTCAGAAAAATGCTGAAATGCCATAACCCATTTTGTCTAAGTGGAAAGTTTTTTCATTTCCCCTGCTTAAACTTCAAGCGGATGCAAAAAAATGCAAATGACAAGTAGGGAATGTACGGTTTGTAAATCAGGAGGAAAGACTGAAAAAATCGAAAAGGTTGTTTTAACAACAAAGAGTCATCTAAAAATTACTCTTTGAATACATCTGATGATGGCATTGTGATAACTGGAGTTTCAAAATGCTCTTCTGAAAAGCTAAATGAAAAGCAAAAAGACGGGCATTACCGACTGATTTTGTCACCCAGTGGTTGACTTGACTTTAATATTATCCATGAAGTATATGTTTGTCTCAGAAACATTAATCCAGATTTGGAGGGCTTACAGAGACCAACTTTGGGCCCTGTCAGAAACTTCAATCAGGTTAATGACGAATTTATTCAGATTTTACATACTCCTGGGAATGCCCACTGGGTATGTGTAGGTTCAGTAGGGTGTGAAGATGGCACTGTCAACTTATATGACAGTCTGTATCATAACATTATTCTCAATGAAGTACAACAGCAGGTACTCATTCTTGTTGGACGTTCAAGTTTTCCTTGTCCAAAAACAGCCAAATGGCAGTGACCGTGGAGTATTTGCTGAGGCCTTTACTACATATCTTGCTTATGGTATACACCCTGAAACAGTGCAATTGATGTCCCCAAAAAGAGAACCCATTTATCTCGGTCTTTAAACCCATCGCCAATAGATGGGTGTGGGGAAGCTGCCTGGTTAAACTGAAAGAGGCACAAGCGAGAGTGAAGGTAACCACGACAACCCTGTGAGCGGCACCCACCAGGCACCGTCACACTGAGAACCTCAATGGAAAATTTTTTACGTACTTACTAAGACCCACCCAGAGGGAGGGAAGGGCTGGGAGCAAAAAGGCTTCTACACAAGCACGAGCAAAGGCAACACGTGTGAAATGACTTGACCTTTAAAGGAGCACTGTAAAAATCATTGGAATATATGAATGTATTGTTTTGTTTCATTCTACATTGCTATGCTTTTGTGAAGTATTATTGTGTGAAGCCAATACAAATGAGAACTGAATACAATGCCAGACATAACTTTTTTGGAGTATTAAACATCAATTCTGTCTCACTAATGTTCGCAAAGATATAAATTTCTTACAAAAGCTGATGAACTTACTCAAAAGGAACAACGGATGGCGAGAGATTTGTAAGGGCTGCACAAACCCTGATCATTCTGTCAATAAGTGGAATTTTTCCAGTCTTCTCAGAGCATGTCAAATAATCTATCGGTAGTGCTCCCTGTATGATAGAATACTTTTGACTCAGGAGTCCAATGACACACCCGAAAATGTTTGTGCTCTTGCTAGAAGATTTGAATTTCGCTCTCTTGAATGTTAGTCAATAATAATGGTTTCTTTTTTCTAAATGGAACTGAAAACAAAGAGGCATTGTGTGCCAGAGCTCATCTCGTTCAGGCCATCTGATGATAAAAGAAGCCTCACACCTATAGGCAAGCTAGTCTTGTAAAGGAACATTCAATCTTAATTTAATTAATACTATAATAAGTTCTTGAAACAAAGACAAGCTTTTAGTCCTTCGAGTGACGAACGGACTGATGAAAGAAAACGTTGCTTTGAGCACATCACAACCCACTAAACCACTGTAAAACCTCACTCTGTCATCATGAGTAGCAAAATATTCCTCAGTAAAAGGTTGCAGGACAGCTTGCTTAAATAAATATTAAAATTCAGTCGTTTGCATTTCAGTATTTTGGGTTACTATATTTGTACCCTTGATTCTGGGGCTTGAGTTTCAGCATTCATTGTTTTCTGGTCATTGTACTATCGACCGAGTGAACAAGAAAACAACGCCATGCTTGTTTGTCTCGAATAACTCCGTACTTTTACGGACAGATCACGTGACGTGATGAACTCGTGATTAACGACACTACATCCCTCCTCTTCTTGGGTACCTAAAAATAACTCATCACAAGTCTTTGCAAATCTGTTTCCGACTAATCAACATTCTCAGTTCGTAAAAACAACGACATTGTTCGCCTGAAAATCGTGTCCGAAAGATCAGTCCTTCAAATGTCAATTGTGAATAAGAAAACAAAACATGATCAATTCAAAACTTCTGAACGGAAGTCTAATTGACAGAAATCACACGTACATAATCCTTAAATCTAACAGGGGGTTTAATCTGCCTTTGCGATCATCTCAATGGGATGTCTTCCTTTCGGACAGATGTGGGATTCTCTACACCATCGTTCTTTCCACTGTGGTCTTGCAGTAGCTGTTTAGGGACAACTTTAAAGTGTGACGAATTTATTGTGACAGTGTCTGATCCATTGCTTGCTGTGATCATTGAACCTCTCTTCTCCTTTACAACAAAAGGCTTGGGATTGTATGGTGTGCTAAGTTTGTTCTGTTTATAATGTTTCATGAGTAGAACCTCTCCCGGTGTGATTGTTCTCTCTTAAGCATTTCCCTTTTGATCAGCATAGATCTTCATCTTCTGTTTTTGCAAAGCATCTCTCTGTGCAAGGCTAGCTGATGGATCTTGAAACATGGACTGTTGCTGCTTGTAGCGGGTGGTTGGTGTTTCAGGTGGCCAAGTCTTAAGTTTTCTGCTGTTCAGAGCTTCACAAGGCGAAATATGTGTTGTGGAATGAGGAGTTGCACAGTACCGGCGCAAAAACTTGTATAACTTTTGTTTCCAATTCTTGCCTTTTATGTGGGCAATCCTGATTTTTTTTCTCAAGAGTTTGAACTAGCCGTTCGGCTTCACCATTTGCTTTGGGCCAGAGTGGGGTGATTTTTCTGTGCTTAAATCCTGCATAGTCAGAAAAGTTTTTGAACTCATGCCCATTGAACGGGGGTCTATTGTCACTCTTCAAAATATCTGGTACGTCTTGTCTTGAAAATATAGCGTCCAGTTTTGGGACCACACCTTTGGCAGATGTTGAAGTGAGTAGTTCTACCTCAGGAAAACGGCTGAATTCATCCACAACCACCACTACGTAATCTCAACTTGGGAATGGTCCTGCGAAATCAACTGCAACTTCCTTTCAAGGTGCACTGGGAAGTGTGAACATTTGAAGAGGTTCTGTTGGTGGTGATTTCGCTGTCGCTGCTTGGCACGAGAGACAGCTTTTTTTTTACTTTGTCTTCTGTCAGCTTGTCTATTCCTGGGAACCACACTTTGTCTCTGATAAGTTGCTTGGTCTTAACAATCCCTTGGTGACCTAAACGTGCCAATTCTACTGCTCTGCTTCTGAGGGTGAGTGGTATGAAAATCCTGTTCATTCTCAACGCTACTCCATTGTATACTGAGAATTCATCTTTCAATCTTTTATAATCCTGGACTTCAGGGCTGGTCCACCGATCAGTTTCTATTGCTTTAATAAGAGCCTGCATCTCCTCATCTACTTTGGTAGTTTGCTTGCCTGTTGTTCCTGCTCCCACTTACAGGGCATGTATTGTCGCGTGAAAAGGCGCAATGGGGCTGTGATTGTGGCATAATTGGGAATGAAGCGGGATACGTACTGTATCATGCCTAGGAGGGACTTGATATCACTGGCGTTCTGCGGTGAGCTAGCATTGCGTATCGCTTCAACTTTCTTAGGGTTGGGCTTGACACCATTGGAACTAAAAATATGGCCATAAAAGCTGATTTCACTCTTAGAGAACTCGCATTTGTCCTTGTTGAGGCGAAAGTTGTTGTCTTTAAGTCTCTGGAGAACACCACGAAGGTTCGTGTCATGGGTATCTTTCCCTTTCCAAAAACTACGATGTCATCTGAAATGTTCTTACATCCGGGTAGGCCTGTAAGGAGTTCTTTGATCGATTCTTGGAAGATTTCAGATGCTGCATATATTCCAAATGGTAGGCGCTTAAAGCGTCTCAGTCCAACATGGGTACTGAACGTTGTGACAAAACGGCTTTCTTGTGCTAGTTCGAGTTGGTGGTATCCTGAAGAAAGATCCAGCGTGCTGAAATGAGTTGCACCATTCAAATCAGCTATGAGGTCATCTATAGTTGGCATGAGGTGTTTTCTTTCTTGACTGCTTTATTTGCGTCCCCCATGTCAACACAGATCCGCACTTCTCCGGATTTCCTGGGTCCGACAACAATGGGGCTAATCCAGGGTGTGGGGCCCTCAACTCTTTCGATGATATCCAATGTCTATAACCTTTCAAGCTCCTTTTCAACGTCTCCACGCACATGAAAGGGAATCCTGCGGTGTGGCTGCTGTCTGGGTGTCATGTCAGGGTCAACATGCAACCTAACTATTTTGTTTCGTAGTCTTCCTATGCCTCCAAATAAACATTCAAATTCCTCTTGTAGAGACTCTGGGCTGTTCTTGTTCACATCTGTGACAGTGGTAGTGTTAACAGATATTGTAATCAATCCAAGCTTCTGTGCAGTGTTATAGCTGAGGAGGTTTCCCATGTTTCTCTTCACAACATGTAACTGGGTGGTAGTACTATTACTGCTGGACGTGATAGTTCTTGAAGGTGTTCCTAGCAGTGGCAGGGGAGTATCAAATCCATAAGAGTAAATCTTGCTGTGAGCATGCTCTAGGAGTTTGTTACCACAGTCAATTCGATGAAAAGTCGCTTCATCTAAAAGGTTAACAGATGCACCTGTGTCGATCATCATCTCTACTACTTTTCCATTTACTTGTACCTGGCACATCGGTGGCTTCTTGCTTTCGATGTAATTGTGTACCCGTACTCGTATTCGTCTTCAGATGAATAGCCAGTTCCTAAAGAAGCCACTTTTCCATCTTTCGCAGAAGGATTTGTTCTGCAAACATGAGCAAAATGTCCAATTTTACGGCAGGCGTTACAAGATTTTCCTCGGGCTGGACATGGATTCCTGTGAGTAGCATATCCCTCGCAATTACCACATTTTCCGGGCTTGCTGTTTTGCTTGTTTGAGTTTTGACGATTGCGTGACTGAGATCTTCTGAAACGTGAATGCGAGGAGTGTTCGTTTCGCTGACGTGAGCGACCAGGTTGATCGCTTCCTTTGGTTTCTGTGGCGTTAACGTCCGCTGCCGCTTTTTCTACTTGGCGTGCTTGCTCTTCGCTAAGTTCCAAGGCTCTTCCTAGTTTTAAAATGGCATCAAGTGTAAGATTTTCACGTAGCCCTCGGCGTCGTAGTGAATTAGAACTGCAGGTTAAGATAATATGCTTTTTTATCTCTTTGCTAATGTTACTGAACTCACAGGTTTTGGCTAGTTGACGAAGTCGTGTGTTATAGCTATCCAACGATTCGCCGTCTTTTTGCTTGGTTTGACGAAAGTTGTATACTTCATAAGCTATATTCGTCTGTGGCGAAAAGTTTTCATTCAGCTTCTCGACCGCCGTGGCATAATCACTGTCGTCGCCAGTATTTGGCAGGGCATCAAATATCTCGTCAACCTCTGGACCTGCATAATGGAGTAATAACGCTCTTTTCCGTTTAGGAACTGATCTTTTAATGTTAAAACATTCGCTCTAATTGTGCAAGCCATTTTTGCCATCGTGGCCCCTCATTGCCGTCTGCATGAACATCGAAGGATCGGAAAGTTGGAAGTGAAACCACCATGTGGTTGGAGCGTGTCGCTGACCGTATCAGTGTGTGAAATGTTCTGTGAAAACGCTGGCAGCTCTCCTCCCTTGGGAGCTTCTATTGCATTAGAATGGCTCGATCCTCGTTGGCTTAGCTTGCTCGCTGGCTAGATCCTCGTCGCCAGATGTACTATCGACCGAGTGAACAAGAAAACAACGCCATGCTCGTTTGTTTCGAATAACTCCGTACTTTTACTGACAGACCACGTGACGTGATGAACTCGTGATTAACAACACTACAGTCATGACTGTCGTATAATCCTTCCTTGTTTTCTGGATCTTTGTCATCAACATCCAAAGCCTCTCGGCCTCGGGCTCTGCTCGTAGAATATCTCATCAGCTGTTTCCCCTGTAACATCCAATCGTTTCACTTTCTCTTCTACCTCCTTTTCTGCGATCTCTGCTCGACTTTTGCGTCTTTTGGCAGCTCTCCGAGCTCGAGCAGCTGCCTCTTCAGGATCCTTTACATGCTGTTTTGAATGCGCAGGGTGGAGGGTAGGGACCCAGTCTACGTTGAGTCGATCCCAATCTTTCGCAGCTTCTGCTGAAACGAAATGCCGGCTGCAAACCCGATCTCCTTACAAAATATTATCAGTCATCTCTACTTATCGCAGAGATCCACCTTCTTCCTTTCTCAGAATTGTCACAGCTCTTCGGTGTTCTCCTCTTGATTGACCATAACACTTGGATGGTGTTATGATATCTAGAACCTTCTGGAATTCATCTACATTTGCTTTTTAGATAAGAACGTTCTAGAATGTCAGTTTGCTAATCTCTATTATTATCCCAAACGTTATGTAAGTCTCTATAAATAGACTGATTATGTATTTGTTTGGAACATTCTAGAAATCCCCTCTTTAAGGTATATAAGCAACCCCTAGACTATGCTTTTTTCTGTCTGTTAGTGTCATTAGTTCTATGAGTGTAACCTACTTCTGAAGAGGTTAAAGTTTGTGTTCTACGAGACCTAGTCGACTCAACGTTCCTCATTGACTGACAAAACTTGGTGTCAGAAGGTTAGTGCAATCTACGAGCTTTGTCTTTGCTGCTTGAAGTTTCTTGGTCATGCCCTTGACCTCTACTAGTGAGCAAACGTCTGGTTCAACGGCTGCTGTACCGATGTATACTCCTACAGTACCGCTAGCCAAACCTCCAGATCCTCTCAACCTAGAAGACAGATCGCATAGAGGCGATAACTGGTTACACTTCAAGAGAGCATGACAAATCTATGAACAAGCGACTGGGATAAGTAAACAGGAAGGTCCAGTCCGTGTTGCTCATTTTCTCAACGTCATTGGAAGAGAAGGAGTTCAGTTGTTTGACACCTTTACCTTTGATGAAGATAGTCACGAAAGCGCTGACAATATAGATGACGTCATCGCTAAATTTGAATCTCGTTGTCTGCCGCAACGTAATGAAACGTATGAACGATACCTCTTCAACAAAAGAGAGCAAGAACCAGGAGAAAGTATCGACCAGTATTGCACAGCACTGATGCGTCTCTCTGAACACTGTGGCTTTATGAACCTAAGAGACAGCTTGATAAGAGACCGCCTCATCCTTGGAGTTAAGAATGATCGTGCACGCAAGAAACTATTGGAGCAGAAAGATCTTGCTTTGGATAAAGCCTTGGACATTCTGCGAACACAAGAGTTAACTGATACACGCGCATCAGATATGACAACTGAAGAAGCTAATGTAAATAAGGTAAAACTCAAGAAAACGAAAACTCCAAAGACTCAGACTGAAGGTACGACCTCGTATAAACAGACCTCAGATAGAAAGCGGACTCCTCGGTGGAAGTCAAAAGGGAAAGGTTCTGGCAACACCAACAACGTATGCACCCCAGAATGCAAATTTTGTGGTACTGTTCATGAGATGAAAAAATCAGCCTGTCCTGCTGTTGGCAAAAAATGCACTAGATGTGGCAAAGAGGGACACTTTGCCAAAAAGTGTGACTCCCGCTCCGTCAATCATGTACAAGATTGTGAAATTTACAGTCATAAGCCCTCCTCCACATCAGCTTATGTGACAGTGCGCCTTAACAACAATGCCGAGGTACAACTCCAGATCGATACAGGTGCTTCATGTAACATTCTGCCTAAAAGTGACTGCATCAGGGCTGCAGGAGACAAACAGTGTAAGAATCTGGAACAGTCGTATACAAGGCTCATCATGCACAAAAAGACTGTAGTGTGGCCACTTGGTCAAATCCGCCTACTTACCCAACGGAAAGGAAGAAAATATGGTGAAGCAAGATTTGACACCACTCCTTTGTAGAACAACGTGTGAAAAGATGAACTTAGTCAAAATTCTCGATGCTGACATAAACGCGACTCACAATGAAAGAATTGATGTTTCGCTTAATGTTAGAAGTGATCCTATCTTATCTGAATTTACTGATATCTTCACGGGAGTTGGATGCCTTGAAGGAAACTACTCTATCCAAGTGGACGACGGTTTCCGTCCAGTGGTACATCCTCCTCGTAAAGTACCAGTCCCTCTACGAGATACACTCAAGTCAGAGTTGGATAACAAGGTGAAGAATGGTATCCTCGCCAAAGTAACAGAGCCGACATCATGGGTCTCTAGTCTTGTTATAGTCAAGAAACCTAACGGGAAAATACGAGTATGTTTAGATCCTCGAGATCTCAACCGTGCAACCAAACGCTTGCATTATCCACTTCCAACTATCGAGGAAGTCGCAACTCGCCTCAGTGCTGCCAAAGTCTTTAACGTGTTAGATGCTAAATGTGGATTCTGGCAGGTCAAACTAGTTGAAAAGAGCAGTTATTTGACAACTATGAACACACCTTTTGGCCGCTATCGCTGGCTCAGAATGCCATTTGGTATAAACTCAGCCCCAGAAGTATGGCAACAGCGAATGCATGAGCTAGTAGAAGGACTTACAGGTGTAGAAGTCATCGCCGATGATTTCCTAGTTTGTGGTTTTGGAGACACTAATGAAGCTGCAATAGCTAACCATGATCAGAATCCCAAAGCTTTCCTCAGCCGCGCGAGAGAATGAGACCTCACTCTCAACAGCGAGAAGCTAAAACTTCGACAGTCACAAGTTCCTTTCATAGGACACCTCCTCACAGCTGAAGGTCTAAAACCCGACCCGTCAAAGGTACAGGCCATAGTTGGCTATCCAGTGCCTACCAACCTCGCAGAACTGAGAACGTTTTTAGGAATGGTGCAGTATCTGGCAAAATTCTGCCAACATCTGTCTACAGCATCCCAGCCTTTAAGACAGTTGGAGAAGAAGGAAGTTGAATGGCATTGGCAACGCCCTCAAAGTAAAGCCTTCAACGAGATAAAAGATCTCGTCACTAAAGCCCCAGTTCTACGGTACTTTGACGTGAGTAGGAATATAACTATACAGTGCGATGCCTCACAGTACGGTATTGGTGCAACTCTGCTTCAGGAAGGACAGTCAGTCCACTACGCAAACAGAGCACTGACCACCACAGAGCAAAACTACGCCCAAATAGAGAAGGAGCTCCTTGCTGTTGTGTTCTCTTATGAGCATTTTGAACATTACATTTATGGCAAACACGTCACAGTCGAAAAAAACCACAAGCTACTGATTGCTATACAGAAGAAGCCAATCAACACAGCCTCTAAAAGACTACAGCGTATGATGCTTCGTTTGCAAAGATTTGACCTGAATCTTACTTACAAGCCTGGCAAAGAGATGTACATTGCTGACGCACTTTCTCGCGCTCTACCTAAGCAGTCAAAGATAGCAAGCGCCTCACACTTCTGTAACGATCTAGAAACTGTCAACTTTGTTGAAGACTTGCCGATATCTGACTCAACACTTGCAAAGTTTCAAGTAGAGACCGCCAAAGATGAATCTCTACAAGTGTTGTCACAAGTTATACGCGCTGGTTGGCCTACGAAAACTTCGATGGTACCTACTAGCGCACAGCCCTTTTTCAGATATCGAGACGAGATGACACTCCAAAATGGCGTAAAATTTAAAGCAACGAAGATAGTCGTCCCATAGAGTCTTCACCGATGTATGTTGGAGGAAACACACAAATGTCATCAAGGACTGCAAGCATGCCTTCGAAGAGCTAGAGAAGTTTTCTTCTGGCCAAGGATGTCTGCACAACTCAAGGATCTAATTGATAAGTGTTCTATATGCCAAAGTGTTAAACCTGAACAAGCTAGTGAACCTCTTCAGCCTCACCCAGTTCCTGACAGGCCATGGCAACGAGTTGCAACTGATTTGTTTACCTTTGAGAACCGCAACTACCTTGTATTAGTTGATTACTACAGCAACTTCATTGAGCTGGACTATCTTGCTGACACTTCGTCCCAGACAGTCATTCACAAACTGAAGATGCATTTTGCAAGGCATGGGGTACCAGATTATGTTGTTTCCGACAATGGTCCGCAGTATACATCTTCAGAATTCCGAAGATTTGCAACAACATGGAAGTTCAAGCATGTAACCACCTCACCGCACTACCCACAAGCTAATGGGATGGCCGAAAGTGCAGTCAAAACATGCAAGACAATAATGAAGAAAGCTCTTCTGTCAAAATCCGATCCATATCTTGGTTTATTGGATCACCACAACACTTCTAGTGCCGCGACAGGTATGTCACCCTGCCAACGTCTTTTTGGTCGCCGAGCTAAGACACTCCTACCCTTCTCAGAACCTCTACTCAAGACTGAACAAACAGTTAGTGACCTTCTCAAGAAGGATCGTGTCAAGCAAGCAAAGTATTTCGACCAGCATACCAAACAACTCTCAGAACTCAAGTCAGGTGACATAGTGCGCATGAAACTGCCTGGTGGAACACAGCGGTCACAAGCAGTTGTTTCTTCTAAAATCGCACCTCGAAGCTACAAGGTTGAAGTCAATGGTAGATTGTATAAGCGTAATCGTAAGCAGTTGCGTTCTACCAAGGAACCACTTCAAGAATCTCCCTCTGAAATGGACGAAGATGACCTAACGACTTCAAACAATCCTCTGGAACAGACCCAGCCCTCTCCAGCTAGTACTCAAGCAAAAGCAGCCACAACCCCTCCTAGACCTCAACGTTTCGTCACACCTCGAACAACAGAGCTGAGCGCAAGACCGCCTCAAGAAACCACGACAACTGAGTAAAGGACAAGATATGGACGATTAATCAAGCCGCCTAAGAAGTTTGATATTGAGTCATAGTGATGAACATTGTAGCCTGTACTTACTTTTTTTAAAAGGGGAAAGATGTTATGATATCTAGAACCTTCTGGAATTCATCTACATTTGCTTTTTAGATAAGAACGTTCTAGAATGTCAGTTTGCTAATCTCTATTATTATCCCAAACGTTATGTAAGTCTCTATAAATAGACTGATTATGTATTTGTTTGGAACATTCTAGAAATCCCCTCTTTAAGGTATATAAGTAACCCCTAGACTAGTTTTTTCTGTCTGTTAGTATGTCATTAGTTCTATGAGTGTAACCTACTTCTGAAGAGATCTAAGTTTGTGTTCTACGAGACCTAGTCGACCCAACGTTCCTCATTGACTGGCAAAACTGATGGGACACGAAAAAACCTTACTTTTTCGACGTTAGACCGCTTCTTCCCTGTTAAACAGGGAAAAAGCAGAAAACCGTGATGAAAACAATATAAATATTACTCTGGCGTCTTCTTAAAAGTGCAAAATCTGCTCTAAATATTGCTGTCACGCTACTCAACGCTGTTTACGGTGGAACACCAATTTGGCGGATGAAGTCGGTTATCATGACGATATAGAATTTTGGTCACGTAAGTGCATGAGCCCCATTCGGGATATCGAGCGACACGCGAAAGAAGGTGAAAGAAGACGAGGGAGCGAGTGGCTGGAAAAGAGCTCTCCTTTCCTTCGTTTCCCGCTCGTGCGTTTTTTCGGACTCTTTTCGTGGCTTGCTTGGGTTGCTTCACGAATGGAAAGGGAGAGCTTGCTAGCAGGTTATAACATTTCTTAGTATTCATCCGTTAATTCGACATTGGGTGAGTAATTTTATGTGGGAATTCCGAGAAAAATTTCCAGTCGATACTTGCGACTTCGCAGCAACTTTTTCTTATTTGATATTCATTCCACTATAGATATAGCCCAGAGCTCAAATTATGACCGTCGGCGGTCTTGAAGCATAAGGAATTTGCCGGGGAAGCAACGATTATTTCTGTAACCTACGTACACAACGAGATTTGAATAAAAAAACTGCTTCTGTTACTTCAGTTATGTTTCTTCTTTCTTGTGTGCTCCCCGAGCCATTTTACACAGGTTCCAGAGGAGATGTGTTTGTCGTTAGAACATCAAAACCCGTCGAAAACTTCTGAAAAAATGGGTTATTTTGATCGCGTTACAGTTTCGTTACACATTCCATATACCGCTAACCTAGAGACTGAGGGCTCGCAAGATCGGCTTACAGTATAAAACACTTTATTAATAGGCCTACTTGATCTCTGGTCTCTCCCTGATCTTTCAGAGCCTCTTTGTCAGCATATGATCTCTCGGAAGCTTTAATTGCGTTGATCTAGATATCCAGCAAATAGTGACGTCAGTTTCGCTACAAATAAATACTAATAAATAAAAGGAAAAGTGATGTCAAAATATGTGCTTTCATAAGCACTGAGTAACATAAATAATGACAATTTTTCATGTAGTGTCTTAATAACAAAACACCGATAACAAGGACTTATCCGGAATGAAATTCGCATCTTCGTAAATGTGGGTCAATGATAGCCACAGTACATGTCACGTCACAAAAATTCAAATTTGTGAAATCATGGGATTGGTTAGCATATCCAGAAAGAACAAGAACAAAAAAGACCAAATCAGCCTGCTAGTGCTAATTGTTGGTAAAATATAGCACCGTCTTGCTCTGATAACTCCATACGAATCTTTCTAAAATTGGCCTGGTTCGTAACGTTTATGATCCAGGCCTATTTTAGAAGGGTTCATTTGGAGTCATGCCACCTATTTGCACTAAAGGGGTGATTTCTAGCAATCGAACGGTTTCACCTTGTTTTTTCAGGAGACGGTGCGCTAACTAACCCCATAATTTCACAAATATAGTTTTTGTGGCGTCATCATTTCCCGTCTCTTTTGGTGGTTTTCACTGTCACGCCATTAGAAATAAAAATCAAAACCGTTCAATAGATGAAGTCCAGAATCTGGGAAATGAGAGGAGATAAACATGCAAAGGCCCTCGCCAAGACGCAGGCTAGTGCAATTTTTCATATGTGAGATATTCGGAAAAATGATTTACCCAAACTTACACAGCTTTGTATGAAGACTCCATGTTGTTGCCATCTGGATGGGCACCAACATGGTGGCCGGAAGCCAACAGAAACATCTGGCCCTGGGTTTTGCTACGAAAACGTGAATTCATCTCTCGGGGAAATCGCAATTATTGAAGAAATACTTCTCCCAACACAATAACTGTTCAGATAGAAAAATCTCCCCAAAATAGGTCACTTTTTCAATCTACATGACAGCTCTTTAGGCCGCCATGTAAATGGTGCGCCACGCAAAAGTTTAGAAATTCAAGCGCACTATATAACAAAACGGCAAGAATCTTTTCGAAGTAAAAATTTAAATATATATTAATTTTAAGCTGCTCTAATAAACTAAAAACTCGAAAGGATTGATGACTTCTTTAGTTTGAATTTTGAAGACGTCATTTGAAAGCACGCAATAGGGCTGGCAGTTGTATAGTTATAAAAAAATTTGGGGGGGTACCCTTTCAGCACACGAAAACACGTTGTGATGAGTTTTCTTCTTTTTTTACCTTTTTTCTTCCACGACGTAGCCATGTCAACAGGTCACCACACGGAACGTATTCTATGACCAGAAAACTTTTGTCCTCAAGCGTACAGCATCCAACCATGGATACGACGTTCTTATGTGAACCCAGCAGTTTCATCTGTTCAATTTCAAACGTGAACTCTTCTTTCTGTGCCTCAGATGGATCATCTAAGGACAAATGAATAAAATGATGATGAATAAAAGATGGATCATCTAAGGACAAATGAATAAAACGATGCTGGGTTCTTTTTGGATAATTTTTATTTATTATTATTATTATTATTATTATTATTATTATCTACTTATTTTTTTTTTTTGCTGTGTCAGTATTATCGATTCAGTGCTAAATTTTTCATTTGCATGAAATATGCGTTCGTTTTTATCACATTCCACGCATCCTCCGATGCACAATTGGACCGATGGATTTTAGTTTGTGATAAAATGTCGATAAATATTGTTACATTTCACTTTACTAGTTACTTTACTAGTGTACCTTTCCAGCAGCCTCGATCGAAGGGAACTGCTGGAAGAATCAGCGTGGGTGTGGCGCGCTCCCTGGTACCCTTTCCTTAGTTTACCCTATCTCAGACATTAACCGCTGTTCGCAAGAGGAAAATAATGAGCTTAACACATGATTTCGAGTGCAATTTGTGGTCTTTGAAAAATTTACGCGTGCTGATTTATCCCAAATTGCACGTGAAAAACCATGTGATTACTTGTTAATAATATACATGCAAAAATTTGACTTGCTTTTCCTCTATTACGTCTCACCGCTTGTCAAAAGTCCTTCCGTTCCATTCTACAATTAACAACGTCGACCAAGATTGGTCTAAATTTTGACAGGTTAATATTGATGGCTAAAATCGCAGAAGCTAAGCTAGAAATTTGTTTACCGAGAACTCAACCCTTTTGTCATTTTACGTTTTAACTTTTCAGGTTTTTTTCACTGCCGCCACGGAAAGAAATACAACTGCTAACAAGATTCCTTTGCATTGTTGTGCTTTGTTTATTGGGGTTTTGATTGAGGAAAGTGTCGCAACTGTGGTAGTTCATGCAGCCTTTTACAGAACAGTAACGGAGAGAACTAGAGCGTTCTAACCTCACCCACTAGCTTTCAGGAGTTGCATCTCAGGTGAGTTTGAGTTATTGCATTTTTTTTTCTCGTTTAACGGCGGCCATAATTATTTTAAGTTTCTTACCGTGACTTGTAAGATAAATTTGAGACGATGTATGGCCTCGTGTTCAAAAAGCACAAGCTTTTTTTAAAACAGTTTACGACTGTATATGAAACACTTAAATGACACTACTCCTCCAATCAGGCTTAATGAAATTAGAGAAGTGCTCTTGTTTCAAGACATTTTTCATGTTTTGGTCGTCTGTCAATAATTTTGCATTTTGGTATTTCAGGCTATTGTTTCGCGTGGTTTCTTGGATTGATAACATGCCGCGAGAATGAAGCTGGAATCAGAATTGCTTTATGTTTACATGATTTGCTATTTAAGCTTACGTCTTTTTGCATAGTCTTCACTGTCACCAAAGAAAAAATAATAATAATAACATAAAGGAATTGTCGATTATTCTACTGAAAGACGGCCTTAACTGAACACACCTGAGCCTGACAATCAATCTAATTTCAACTTTTTGCACTCAAAAAATTTCAACTTTCTGCACTTTTTGGGAGAAATTGACGTGCTCTCAGCCAATGAGCGCGCTGAAATTTTTTCCATGCATATTATTACAAAGATAATGGACTAGTTTTGTTACTTAAGGCCTTTTTAAGGTATTGAAGTGGTTTCTGTCGTCTGTTGCCACGGATGGACATAGATTGACCTTGAAAAAGCTGGACCAACTTTTGCAAGTTTAAAAGCTGTGCCGGAAAAAAAAATACCAAAACATTATTATGGTCATTGCTCCTTGAGGAAATTTGTGTCATATCTTCTTCAAGATCCGCTTCATGACTTTTCACTGAAGAGCATTTTGTTTAGTGATATAGGCACAGTAATGACTTCAACACAGAATTGGTAAGCAACAACGACCACGGCAGCGGAAGCGTCTCTTAAAAAGCAAATTTTCGCTGTTTAAAATTTAATCGCTTTTATTCCATGTCGTTCATTTGTCAAATGTTGGTGAGTTTCTCTAGATTTGGATGTTAAAGGACTGTATCTAAGTTGAAAAAAAGAAAAAGAAATAGTACAGAAATCGTGATGCAAGTGCAAAGTTGTCGTTTTGATTATCTGAAGGATAATTTTTTTTGTTCTCGTTGCCGTCGGCCTCGGCGTTGCTTTAGGAAAATAAAACGAGAACAACGACACCAGCGGTTTCTCTGGACTTGGTACTATGCAGACCAAAGGCGTCAGAGACTTGATCCTTTGGTAGCCTAAGAGCAAGCTTTCCGGGGCGCTCTGGCGGCGGGGCGAGAAAAGGAAGGAGAGCTAGCAACTACGTCTCTGGAATTTGAATTCCACCTCCACTTCCCCTTTGGCTCGTGGTCGATTGAGCTGTCAGATTTCCGCCAATCAGCGCGAATGTAAACAAACATTGAAAAACACGTGCCAAGAGTAATGACGTCATTACTAATGTCATCTCCGCCAATAAGCAGTCCGCATCGACTTTTTTGATGTAGATATTCATTATAAATTCTAGAGACGTAGTTGCAAGCTCTCCTTCCTTTTCCCACCGCTAGAGCTCCCAGGAGAGCTTGCTCCCTGGCTAATCCTTTGACAGGCGCTCATACATACGTACATACATAGCTTACATAGGAGAGTATCATCGAAGACTAGCAGTCAGAATGATTATTCTCATAGCGCTTTCAGTTTCATCGTTAAAGGTAGGGGGCAGGACAATATCTTTTGACGCATGAGAGTTTTATTAATATTAGAATATCCACCAGAGCTTGCATTATCTAATTCTTAAAATTTCAGGGCCTTTTAGTCCTTTACATTGGCTTTTGTCGACATATTTGCAGAGTTTTGGGGTCTTTGGTCCAAAAGGGTACGTAAGAGAAAGAAATCGCTTCTGTTGCATAGAGAGAACTGAAAATAAGTTGCAAAATCAAAGGCTTTTTCTTTATAAAGACTACAGTATTTTTTACCATGTAAGACTTTGACAGCCACAACCTGTGGTGCTTTCTTTGTGGATAATAAAGGCCGTTTTGAAGTCTCAGTGTCCAAGACCTCCATCTCGACACGCTGTCTAAAGGTTGCTTTGTAAACAACACCAAACGCTCCTCTCCCTAGCTCTTCCTCGAATTCTATTTGCTCAGGCAGAATTTCCCACTTATCAGAAGGTTGTGAATCAGATAAACTGGAGAAAAATAACATAGTAAAAGCTAGATTAATGTCCAAGAATCGTAAAGATTGTCATAAACCAAAATGCAGTAGTAAGTGGTCGTAATGATAGTTTAGTTGTTATCAGTTCAAGAACCATATTTTCAACCTGAAACATATACCCGGCTTGTACACGGTAGTTTGGGCAGAAGTAGAGGTGTATAGAAACCCAGGAACAAAGTCTTGAACAGAAGCTTCGGAAATGTCTTTTCTCGCGCGTTAATGTCGATTTGCACGGGTTCCGCGTAAACGGGTTGCTCAGGTAAAAAATCTTCCGTTCAAAAATTTGTCAGGACCCGTGTAACGGGTCTAACAGAAATTGTTCATTTTGGTACTCAGGTAATTTCATTTATGAATAAAGCTTTACTGAGCCTTCTCGTCCGACTAACCTAGCCCCTGTCCTTTTGCGTACTGCTTAACACATTTGCCCCACTAGACTAGCGTTCAGTGTGGAAATGTCACTGGCACCAAAAATTTGCCGATCATACCCGATCAGAGGTTTATCGCCGCTTCTCGAAACACAAATGAATGTAAGAAACATAGGGGGCGGCCTTTGTCTTCCAAAAATGCAACCTCACTGGGCATACTTTGATATGTTGATATCAGAGATAAATCCTTACTCCTAGATAGGGTCAAAAGCGGTTGTTTTTCAAAGTGAACATTTCGCCGAGAGGACAAGCTTGGAAGAAAACTGTGAAATTTGTAAAAGGCAGCTATACGGACTTTACTCCTCACCCTTCCGTTTCTGTACTTGACCCAGACAACTACAAGTTGAGTTTCATTAAGTTCTTGTTCAGCCTTTTTGGTCGTTTGAGACTCGTTTACGATCTCCTGACGTCGAACGCAAAAATATTTCTTTGTCAATCAATTCATTTATATCAATTTTCAAGATATTATTCTTCAGCATCTATCCTTTGCACTGTCTTTTAAGGTTTACAGCCCCTTGGCTAAAAAAATGTTTGATTACTTTCAATAGAAATTGTAACTTAAGTGATGATCTTGATCACTTCTTGGTAACTGTCGTCCAGGCGCGCAGGTGCACGACGTTGTATAAGTGGCCAGGTGACGTAATTTAGCCAATAACATCTCGCTGAAATTAAATGCTTCTAATGTAATATTTTGCTTATGTGTTTTTGATACACCCTCATCTAGAGATAAAACTACTCTGAACGCGGTGGTAAGCAAAGCTACATAAACCTTTTAACATTCTTTAATTTCGTTCTTCTGTAGCACCAGGCGAAAACAGGGATTGACAACAGCAAAATAGCTAAGGTGGCTCCCAGTGAGATGTAAATGACTTTCGGATTTCCGGGTTCCGCTGAAAAAAAAAAAACAAACAAAAACAGGCGCATTTACTAAGTTTGACATAAAAATATATATATTTAAATCTATCTCGCTTCTAAGCATGGCCTCTCCTCCTTCAAGAATGTTCAGATAATAAGCCAACTTCTCCCTGTTTCTGAGTTCATCATTGCACGGCGTGCCTGGCTAAATTAACAATTTTTAGCTTTTCTATGTCCATTATACTTACTACTATTACACAGATCTTCCTCACAACAGTGCAAATGTTGTTCATCAAGTTCTGTGCATTGATCAGCAGATATACAGCCTTGAATGGTGACTTGTTGGCCTTTTACTGCTTTGTTGTCATACTTGAAACAAAGGTTTTCTGGAAACACGCAGTTGACTGTAATGGGATCAGATGAAGTTTTGCTTGGGTACTTATAACAAAGAGTACCTAGCGATAAATGCAAAATGAAAGAAGGTCTTAAAATCATTGAGTATCTGACAAAGGTCCCTCGGCTCAATGTCTGGAGAAAAACCATGAAAATATAGCTAATTTAGCCAAGCCTGAAAGCGGAGATCTTACTATATTCTAACTCACTCTCAGAAATCTCATAGACTTTTACCCTTGGAACCAAAGCGTGATCAGTAAGAGATGTCATGTATGATTATGGGTAGCGTGGCTAAGCAATAATTTAAAGCGCTGAAATTGCTATCCGAAGGTCCCGAGCTTAATTCCTGCTCTAGCCGCTAGCGGGAGTTTTCTCCGTAGTTCCAAGTTCATCTCCTTGGCACCGCTTCTAAATAGCTAGCTGGAACTCTTAACCTTCTTGTGTTTATTTGAAGCATTTGTTTTTGTACTGATCTGTGCACCACAATTAAAATAGCTGGGTTATCGGTAATTGTGCTACCTTATAAAAGTCATCTGTATATTATCAAAAACCATTCCATCACCAGGTAGACAAACTTGTGCCAGTATGGAGTTCTTTGTTGGGAATGTTGGTAATACATCTATTTTATTGTTACACTTTATCCGGTTTTACCACTGCATTGCTTTGGCACAATTGGGTTCCTCTCAATCGCAACAATTATCTTTAAATAGAAGTAGATAATAGACAACTTACTTGTTAATGCTGACTTTTCACATATATAGTTGTTTTGGTCGTTACAGTTTCCATTTTCTATCGTTCCAGTGTCTGTCTTCATTTGCCTGCATTTTGAATCATTGGTTTGGCCAATCCATACGTACTTTAGAAAGGTATTAAAAAGGGTATAGAAAAAATTAACAGATTAATCAATTCTACGGACGTAGTTTACCCTTAAGCCACAATTAAGTTGGCTGAACATGCAGTTTGATCATTGGAATACTTGGCAAGGACAAAAGATGTATAAAGCATAAAGCCTGGTATTTACTAACGCATAAGCATAAGCAAAAGTATAATTACAAACATAAGCATAAAGACGAATTACGCACGCGCAAAATGGCATATTTGACTCAATTCTCGATACTAGCTTTCTTCAACCCGATGATAAACAAGATGGCAGACGAAGACAATGTCTTGCGCTTATAAATGCTTGTGGTTATGTCGACCCCTTTCTCACTAGTCAAAGCTATGACATAAGCATAAGCATAAGCACAACAACAACGAACACGTCCGTTTTTCTTGTGCTTATGCTTATATCGCCGGTGTTCTCACTTGCTTACACATGTGCTTGTGCTTATGCTTATGCTTATGTTAGTAAAAAGCAGGCTAAAGTTCCTCTCGATAACGCAAGAGATTCGATCGTTGCCATGCCAACAAGGATGTTTTAAACAAGCCTAAAGTATTATTTTAGTAGGTTTACGCAAAATCCAGTCATCAGATTTCCTTATGACTTTTTATGCAACTTACGATAAGTAATCCTCAGTTTTTAAAAAACAACGAGTTCAAATTGTAACAAACAGTTTTTTTTTAATTATTATTTTTTTTTATATTTCAAGGAAAACAGCTATCATGGGAAACTTCAATGTTTCATAAAACTCCTTTGTTCAATTTATATTTTAGGTTTTCATCTTTTGAAGTCCAATATTAATATTAATGGGTAGATTTTGAGACATCACCGTTTGTTTACTTTGCCAAGTCAACAAAATAAGCGCTCTCACATTGTTCCCTAAGAGCGCATGCTCAACAATTGTGCGCGCGCTGGGGGTCATGACAGAGAAACTGTGTTCGGCCACCTTAAGTTGATATTGTTTCGGATGAACATGTATATAACAGACACGGCTACCAATATGACAGTATGGCAATTCCTTGTGATCACTTACAAACAAATTACGTTAATAATTTTGGCGAGAAGGACGTCAGTAATCAAATGAGATGTAGCCTTTTATATAGATCTAAAAGTCTTATCTGATGAGGGGCAGACCAATTGGCTTTATACGAATACACTACATAACCTGGATTGGGACGTCCTTAATTTATTGAGAGCGATGAAATTTACATATGTATTTTGTACATTTAATTTTCCAAGTAACTGAAAATCGTGGTTTTATCGAACATCATTCATTTAATTGTGTATTCACAAGATACATTGCAGGGTTAAAGTTTTAAGTCAAAAACAGATGAAAACATAATATAAACCACTGGTTCATGCCTCTGTGTCACAAACTACATAAATTACTCAAGCATGTTAAGGCGTGGCCCATTCTTCGATCTAAGACCCCCCGCGAACACAACTACTTCTGCTAGTATAAGAGATGTTCTTTTGATTTTAGCCACCACTAAAAACGTCAGCAGAAATATTTTGTCGTCCTTTAACCTTATGAGGGTTAATAACTGCAGTCACGTGTCCGATAACGTCATAATTAAGATTGATAATTAAGGAAAAAGTGACATCTTAAATGAGCCAATGCATGACTTTTTTAACTCGTTGATTACGCGTAGCGTAGGGAACTTGTTATTGTGGGCACTGCAATATGCAAATATATCACTCAGGGCCGAGTTGTTCAAAGCTGGGTTAAGATAACCCAGGGTTAGTGCGAGATTTGGATTCAGATTTGAAAGCTTAAAAAGCATTTCAGTTTTAATTCTTTTTGTCTACAAGTTGATGAGTGGAAGCTCTAAAAATAACACAGAAAATTATCCGAGAAAATACTTTTGAACATAAGAAAAAGGAAACCCGGGTTAAGCGCTAAGCGGCCTTCGAACAACTGGTCCCAGGTATAGACACTTTCGTAATTAGTCGGTTCGCACGAGAACTCCCGATATCAAAACGGCAAGGAGCCGCAAGCAGTAATATTTCTGTCCCGTAATTTAATCAGTTAAATCATCAAAGTTGACAGGTCTTTCTGATGATCAAAGCGACCGTTCGGTTTACCATTTACACCTTCAGTGCTAAGACTGTCACGGGAACATTAACACCTTCAAGATAATTGCTTACCATAACAGTCTACTAAGGTTGGAACGTTCCATACCATATTACACCCCCCATATCAGGCCCCAGCCAGGCCCGGACCTACCATATCAGGCCCCGACTTACCATATCAGGCCTCATGTAAATCACTTATATTTGGATTTTGTTTCTTTAAAAGTAATGGCCTTTTTCACAATATAGACGGGTTAATTATCCTTGACGGATAACGGCAGACAGTCAAGGTCAGACAGATTATTAGTCCCAATTTTATATTATAATGTCTGACGCCATTTATCCGAATCATCATGTAGTGTGAAAGCGGCCGAT